TTTGCTTATATTTGCTTCATAGCACCCTTTCTCCTGACTCCTGGAGCATTAAAAGTTTCCTTTTCTCAGGCCACTTCCTATAGCCAGACAGGAACTCCAGTAGAACAATAGAGACACCAACCTACCCACAAAACTTTCAACCCCAAATTTATCCTGTCTACAGGAAATGCAGGTATGAAGGAGCGAGCAGAGACTGAAGGAATGGCCAAGCAATAACCAGCCCAACTTGAGACCCAGCCATGGTCAAACACCAATCCCTGACACTATTAATGATTCTCTGTTGTGCTTGCAGACAGGAGCATGTTGTCCTCTGAGAGGCTCCACCCAGCAGCTGACTCAGACAGACACCCAAAGCCAAACAGTGGATGGAACTTGGGGACTCTTATGGAAGAATAGGAGGAAGGATTGCAGCCCCTAAGGGGATAGGAACTCCACAGGAAAATCAACAGACTCAACCATCCTGGACCCTCGGGATTCTCAGAGTCTGAACCACCAACCAAAGAACATACACAGGGTGGATCTAGACCTCCCCGCACATCTGTAGCAGATGTGCAGCTTGATCTTCATGTGAATCCCAAACAACTGGAATGGAGGAGGGATATGTTCTTCTAGCTGGGCTGCCTTGTCTGGCTTCAGTGGGAGAGGAAGTGCCTAGCCTCCTTGAAGTGCCAGGGTGGGGGGATACCCAGAGGGGCCCCCACCCACTCAGAGAAGAAGGGGAGGAGGGATGGGAGGAGGTGAGCAGGAGGTAGGGGCAGTGAACGGGATGTAAAATGAACAAATAAAAACATTAAATTAAAAAAAGTTTCCTCTTCTTGGAGATATGTATTTCTCTTAACAGTCGACAAAGCCTCTTTTAGTTGTATACACGTGCTGACTTCTCAAGGATCTGAGTATCTTCTTTCAGATGGCCACCTACTAGGTGGTTCTGACCTCCTAGAAGGCTAAGTGCTAGCCTGTTCCTTCCTGTACCAGAAAAGACTGGCAACATAACACAGGGGAATGTCTCAGGATGGACCTCGGTTTGGGGAGAAGTTAGAGAGAAACATAGGAGACTGAACTGCTAGAAGGAATTGTTTTGTATTGTGGCACTGTCTGAGTCTGGGATCTTCCCCTGGGATCTGATGAAGATGACCATGGCAGGAAGAATATGTCAGTTTCATCTGGGTACAAGATGGAGAAGGGGCTGTGATAGAGAATTCCAGAACTAATGCCATTGATCAGGAAAACTCTCACAAGCCTCAAACAGTGGGATCTTATGTCTTACCCCTCCCTCGCATAGGCTTTTACTCAGTCAAGCCTGATTCACAAACAAGACAAGATTAAGACCAATGACAGGGCCAAGGTGTTTGGAACATCATAAAAGGTCACCTTATCAAGTTGTGCTCAGATCCTATCTGAACTGCATGAGAGTCTCTGAGTTCCCTTTCATCTTCCTAGTGGTCAAGAGTCCCCAGGGACACATGTGAACCTCCACAAGGAATGAGGCCTGAGATCAGCAAAGGCTCTGGTGTTTGTGACATCTATAGGTCCTGGACAGGAGCTGGACCCTAGGCAGGGTGTATAACACTTGGCTCTAAACACTTGCCTTTTCCTAATCTCGTCCCCAATGGGGCCCCTGCCATTTCCTTAGCTCTTCTGGGTAATGGCTAATAGCACCTCCTCTTCTTGTCTTAGTGGTTATTCAGACAGTTAGTCGGTTCCTGGGGTTAATTATCATTCTTCAGTCATCTCTGAACTGCTCAATCCTTACTGAGGCTGCAAACTGGAACCTAAGCTCCCTGGAACGCACAGTATTGCCCTACTATGGTGAGTAGAAAAGGCCTACACAGAGAGCCCTCAGCTGGGATGCGTGCGTGTGTGTGTGTGTGTGTGTTGTGATGTACACATGTAGTGCATGTAGGTACATCCGTACATATCACATGTTTATGTTTGCCCCAGATGGATGTCAGGTGTCACTCTTTGATCAATTTTGAGATAGGATCTCTCAATGAACCTGCAGCTCACTGATTCAGCTAGAATGGCTGGTCAATAGGTTTCGGGATTCTACCTGTCTCCACTCCACTTCACCAACCTCCAAGGCTGCACTTTCCAGTAGATCTGGATACTGTCCTCCAGTTCCCTAAGAGAATTGGACACACAGGTCTTTAAGCTTTCTTGATCTCTTTCTTTTTCTTTTTCTTTTTTTTTTTTTTGAGCTCTTACTGTGCTTTTAGAATGCTCTAAATCCTTTTCTTATTTCTTGATGAAATTTATACATGCAGATGCGGGTGTAGGTTCCCCACAGCATAGGCCTCTCCTCTGCACCTTCCTAGAAGAGCAGAGCTAGCCTTACCTACCGGACTATGTAGATTTGGCCTCAGAGAACAAGCAGCTAGGAACACAACTGTAAGAGTTTGACTCCAACTCTCCCTAGAGTTCCTTCACATAACATCTCAAATACCGATCCCATATTTCTGAACACAGAACTTTCCAGAACAAATGCACCCAGATTGGTACTTGCTGTGGGACAGAGACATTGATGTTCACGCTTGTGTTAAACAGTTTCCTCCACCCCACCTCACCCCATCCCCTTTGTGGAAGCAAAGGGGAAAATCATGAAATCCTAAAAAATCTTAAAGACTCAGAGGCCCATCTCTAATGGTTTATAAGCAGTTAACAATTGCCAAGGAGAACAGACCCTTTGCCATGCAGTAGTCTGCAGGAACTCTTCCAGTGAGTTCTCATCAGTCATTACCAAGTCTGGGTGGGCTTTTGGTTATGTAATTGCCTGAGTACCCATGATGCTCTAAGAAAGGCCAATAAGTACACTGGCTCATCAGAGAGCATGGAAGGACTCATTTCTTTCATCATTGCAGTATCTGGATGTATCTTCATGCCTCCACAGGGAAAGTTACACATCAGAGGCAAAAGCCCAGGCCCTGAGGATCCACACCAGTGAGGAACTGGAGCTGTAGGTGTTGTCCTCAGGCACCCAAGTCTCCCCATCATGTCACTATGGAAGCTTTCATTTTCTTTCATTTCCCTATAGCTGCCATTTGATCTCCACTATCCACGGTCCATGTGTATCCTAAATGCTTAAAAACATTTTCATGCTACTGCATATGTATTTCAAAGGACAGGGATCATTAGAGCATGCCTGATGCCCCTGAAGAAGAAGCACCAGATCCCCTGAATGGTTAATGGTTGTAAGCCATCATGTAGGCTAGAAATTGAATCCAGATCTTGTGTAAGAATAGTCATTGCTCTTAACCACTAAGCCATATCACCAGGCCCAGCTCTCTGTCTCTGGAGCTGTCCCTGGAAGCCCTGACCCTACTGCATGAGGAGAGCAGGGGACTCAGGAAGGCAAACCCCATACTTCCTTGATACCAGGCTGTCTTGAGAGGCCTGCAGTTGAGTATGACGCTGTTGCAGATATCAAGAGTCGATAAGTCACTTGGTTTGGACAGTGGCCTGGATGGAATGGACAGAGAGCAGAAATGGATGGCTGAGTTGTCAGACAAGCACAGGGAAGCAGGCCTAAAGAAGGGATGGCACTCAAGAGGGAAGGGCAGGCTTGTTGCAGGGCAGGGAAGGGCAAAGAGCACTGTGTGGGACCAAACTATGGACCAGAGTGTAGCCCATAGTCCCAGGTGAGAAGTTACTCGGGTTTGGAAGCACTCCATGACTTGGCAAAGGGACTTCAAGAAGATAAATGGGCCTGTGACAAGGCAAGTTGGCAGGATGACAGTCACCCATCAAATCCCTCAGAAGAGATATCTGTGACCAGAATGAAATGACAGGCTGAAATAGCCCTGGTGCTTCCTGCGTGTCACAAGCGATTGTATGAGGGAACCCTGGACACCTATACACCTAATGGCACTGCCGTGGTAGAGATGAAACAGCACGAAGTCTGGCAATGTACTGAAGACTTGTAGGATGGAATTATCATGCCTGGGACACCTACACTTCTTGAGCTCCAGATCTTTAGGATGCAGGATGGGTCTAGGTTCAGTTGCAAGAAGTAGTAGAGGTGAAATTATAGTCTCCAATCCCACATCCTCTTTCTGGGCCCACATATCCTCCAGAGACTCACACTGGCCCATAGGCTGAGTCTAACCAGTGCCAGCAGGAACTACACATGTTAGTCGGGCCATGAAAACCATCCCATTGAACCAGTAGTGGCCAGTGCTGCCCCTCTGTCAGAAGTTGTTTGAAAGGCGTCACAGCACTTCATTTGTCCTCGCTCTTTACTGACCATCAAACAGGCAGGAATACAATGAGAACAACAAAGGCAATTGTGTGATTTGTCCACTGCAATATGGCAGTCATTTGTTCCTATAGCACAGTGAACTAGAGGCTGACAGATACACAGAGAATAATCACAACTCGTGTTTCTGAGCAGAAGGGAGTGGGTATATGAAATGAATTAGAGAAACATCCACAAGCCATGTGATTATGTCCATGAAGGATTCACCTGTCTTCTTGAAGCCCATGCTGTAGTAGAGAGTCACAGCACCATGCTGCAAAAGGCCAGTATCAAGGACAACATCACTGTAGCCCTGGTCCCGTGCAAACTGGAGGACAGTTCTGACCAGCGCTTTCGCTATCCCCTGTCCTCGATGCTGTGAGGACACAGACAGGCGAAAGAGCTGCAGCTGCTTCCTCCCTAATGGAGGATCCTTGACTGGCAGAGCACCCACTGTACCTACCACCTGACCCCCAGACTCAGCCACCCAGAAACCTGACCCATGAACACGCAGGTAGGATTTGGTGATGTCGGCCATGTCTGTGCGTAAACATTTGGACACATAGTTCTTCCAGGGTCGGCTGGCAAGGAACAACAAGAAGAGGAGCAGAAAGAAGACGCAGGCAACAGCCAGGAGCCAGGAGCCAGACACCAGGACTACGGCAAGGGGCGCCCCAGCTAAGAGCAGGAAGGTGCGGGGCAGTGTCAGCAGGTGGCGGAAGCCTGTGGGGATGTGTTCCTCCATGCCCCTGGAGAAGACATCCACAACCTGTTTGTAATCCTTCTCCTGGAATTGGCGGATGTGAAAAGAAGCCATGGGAAAACTTCGTCTCAAATCTCAGCATCCACGAGAGACACCAGATCTGTTTATATTGCTGCCTCGTAGCCCTATAGGAGACAAAGGAAGCCAGATGCATCTTCTAAACCTCTACTCACCATCCAGCTCCCAGCCTCCAGCCCCATAGATTTCCATGGCCACCCAGGAGGGAGAAGGTGTCAGTTTCCAGAAGATTACACCCTGTATTCCTCCCCTGCCAAGTGGAGTGAACCTGGGCATGTCAACCTCTCTGAGCCTGTGTGCGCTTGTTTACTGCTCAGGATAAAATAATACCTGGTTTCTGGGGTGATTTGGGGATTTAATACCACATGCTTGTTACAGCATAGACATGTACAGTCCTCTTTCCGCCTCTCTCCTTACCCAGTTACAGGCTCCCTGATCTGTGGTACATTGAGATGGTACCCCTGGACGGAAGATGTGGTTCCCAGTTGTGTTTCCTCTTCAGGATTTATAAATACCAGAATCCCATGCTCCCAATAGCAAGTTTCAGTAAATCTTCTTCCCCTGGTTAGAAAGATTCAATCCACTAAAAGGCAAGGTTCAAGTCCCAAGCACCCTACCCTTGAACACCCAGGAAGACTGTGGAACTCTAGACACCCAGAAACACCAACCTTGTCTCTCTGTCCTCTTAGCTGCTACTACAGCTGAGTGTCCAGAACGGTCTCAGTCACTGATGACATCCAGAACCTGCCAGGACCTGCCCCACCTCTGGGAAATAGACTTGGTCTAGTGCTTAATTGGCTGGCTCCTGGATAATCATAAACCAGAGGTCAAGAGCTGGAATGTGACAGAGGAAAGCACTCTCGTCCACTTGTTTGTGATCCTCACAAGACTAACATGGAGAGGCAAGGTCTGCGATAGCTCTTACTCCTGTGGAAGGCTGCCATCTCTCTTCATGGCTTCTTCATGTTATACCATCTCTTGCTCAAGATTCTTGGTCCTGCCTGAAGCCCAAGACATACCTGTTAGGTGAACCTTGGGACAGTGCAACTCACCCTGGGCTTACCCCGGTAGAGGTCTCATTGGCTAGCACCTGGGTGTTTGATAATCACAGACCCCAGTGAAAGAGTTGGGTTGTAACGAGGCTGAGAGCCAAAGTCCATCTGAGGTTGTGATCCCCACAGAACTAACCTGGAAGGGAGGGGCTCCTGGGATGGCTCAAGGGTCATTATTCTGGTGGGAAGCTGCAGCACATCTCCTTGGCCCTTCCAGCCCACAGCCTGTGTCCTGTCACAGTTAGTCCCCTCCAGTGCCCACTTTGGTCCCTGCATGCACCTGCTAGGAGGAAAGTAGACCTCGAGGCACTCCCTTTACCTCACTTGCTACAAGCAAGAACCCAAGTCTGTGGGCTCCGAAACAACAGCCTCAGTGCTGAGTGTACCTGCTCCTTGGCAAGGGGTTTAGGTGGCCCTCACAGACCTGCTGTCGCCATTCTCACTTTCCCATTGTTTTGTGCCCAGCACACAATAGACCTGGACAAGGGTACCTGCAGGAACTCTAGGGGTTGCTCAGAGGTGAATACCATGCCCACTCCTGTCGGCACACAGCGTGGTTTAAAATGTGGACTGGGTTAACCATTTCAGATATTTGATGTGAAAGTAGAAAAAGTTCCACCAACTGGGGACCATTCTAGTTCAAGTCATAACACTTGATGAATGCGTGTGTGTGTATGTGTGTGTGTGTGTGTGTGTGTGTGTGCTTTGCCTTACAGGACACTAAGGAAACAAAACAACCAAAATCCAGGTCAAGTGGCAGAGCAGGAGCTTGTGACTTTTCTTTCCCCCTGTGTCTTTATGTGCACAGTGTTCACTGGAGTTTTCTCAAAGCCCAAGAGTCTAAATCCCCAGGAGACTTGAAGGAGGTTTGGACTGCGGACTTTCCTGCCATTCTGAGTGCAGAATGAGCTTCCTTCCACCAAACGCCATCCTGAGACGATCAGAGCTGAAGCTTTCTAGTTCCCCTCTGCCTCAGCATCCTAGTGTCAGTGACAGCTGGTCAGTCTCAAGTTCATTTGTATTCCCTGAGGATAGGAAGTGTGCATTTGCTGTTAAGGGCCAGCTCTCTGTCATCTTAAAAAGGTTCAGTGCCAAAGACACCAGATTGGTGGAGATTCGAGCCATTGTGATCCCAGGTAGCTGGTACTCTACAGATATTGATGGTTCCTGGCAACAGCAGTCCTGGTGACCCACAGAGAGGTTTATGGTATCAAGAGTGTACATGCTCCAGGATGGATGGAGGTCCTCAGGGATAAAGGGTGGGAGAACCAGGGGCCCAAGAGACCAACCATCATAATTCAGTGTTGTTTGTACCTGAGGCACAGTGTAAACCACCATAAACTCAATAACATAAGCACCCCAACAGAAACAAAGGACCACTGGGAACCCAAGAAAACCTACATAGAGATGCAGATGTAAGGCAAGATGGGGTACACTAGCACCTTAAAAGAAGGAAAGAATACCATGCAGCAAAGGATGGAAGCACCCAGAATGGGACCTAGGTCTTCTGTGTATACAGGCATGGGGGGTGGGGGATGTGCTCTGGCTACTATCAGGGTGTCCAGAAGTCCTGAGACTTCCTACAGTGGAGACATAAGCCATATAAAAGTAGGTTTGGGGCAGAGTGCTGGAGAGATGGCTCAGTGGTTAAGAGTGGCGGCTCTTCTTGCCTTCATGGCCACTTCAAGCACGTGGTGCACAGACATACGTATAGGCAAAGCACCCATATACACAAAAATAATAGATTTTTTTCAAAAGTAGGTTTGTAAAGATGATAAGGCTCGAAGTCTTGGTATTGAGGGTCCTATCCCACCCCCACACCTATCCTGTTCAGTTGATTATGGGATGCACAATTAATAGGAGTTCAGTTTTATCTTGGCCTCCACAGTTACCTTCCTGGGAGGTTATTCTGTTCTGACAGGGGATAGAGCTAGAGGCAAGAGAGACCTCTATCCCTCCTTCTGCACTAAACATCCCATGCGTGAGCCCTAGTACCCCCTTCCTTGGGCCCCTCCTCACTCTTACCATGTGACTACCCTGTCCCAAGTTCAAACTTGTGAACACAGCAGAGTCCACAGTAAGAAGCTGTGGGGAGACTGAACTAGGAGACCCCTCCCCCATTCACAGAGACAGAACCACAAGCAGAGGCTTATTCTCCACATACAATCCAGTTCAGTGGGGAATCTCAGGGCATTGAAATAAAGTATGTGTTACTGCACATGGGGCCACCTTTCTAGGAGCTGGTGCAAATAAAGAAGAAGGCTTACATAACATTCTTACATAACCTCTCTTGGCAACAAAGATGGAAATCCAGAGGGATCACGGATCAGCAACCAGAGCAGCAACATTCCCACCGTGAACTAGGTACAGGATTGTGGTGACCTTGTGGGAACATGTGGTTCTAGTTCGGTCTTCGGTAAGTTTGGCTAGCTTTGGGGCACACACCTTCCAGATCTCTCCTGTATGACCAAGCAGCTTGCTTTGCCAACTCATTCATCTGGGGAGGATCTGACTGAAGTGAGCCTGGGTAGATTAGGATAGCCCACACAACATTCCAGCAACCTACCAACACATCCGTGTCCTTGTGCACGGTTCAGTGGAGTGGAGGATATTCCCAGAGATGCGGGCTGAGGACAGACTTCAGTGCCTGTCCATCCTCAGCCCTTGCAGTCTGGCCCTCAGCCTCAGTTTCCAGAGTAGAAGCATCCAGGCAAACTCCTTCCAGACTGGGACAGAATCCATCTGGAAGAAGCTGGCCAACCAGGCCTCCCTTCCTCCTGGGGGGTGATAAATTCTTTCTGGCCTGAGTTTCTAATGACCTGGAGTTGATGATTAGTGTGGGGATAACCCCCTTGGGGGAGTTTGGGATTTCTAAGCAAAGCAGGGAGAGTGCAAAGGTCTTGTGCTTTCTTGATGCTGAAAGCAGCCTCAGCACCCACTTGCTCTGCCGAGTGCTGAATTCACAGTTCTTAGTTTCAAGTTGTCATGCCCCCTAAATCCAGGCAGATTCCACGTCTCTAGTGAAGTTGTTATGCTGAGTTTTGAGGTTCACTTTTCTATATAAAATCCTTAAGGTCTGTAATGCTAAAAGGGCTGAGCCTCTTTAATCTTTTACTGGTTTTGACCCCAAATGGGTCTTTTTTTTTTTTTTTTTTTTGCGTCTTGGAATTCTGGAACAGATACTGCTGAGTGTCAGCTGAGCAGCAAAGGAGACGTCTATTCTAAGCATGTGCCTTTCTGAGAAATTCTATTTGGACTTCCTGATTTATAGGCTGAGGGTAGGACCTAAATTGTGCCTGAGGCTCTACAGAGTCAAGAGAAACGCTGAGGGTTGAGCTTTAAGTTGGAAGCAATGCAGACCTTATGATGGAACTCATCAGGGTTCAGATCCTAGCCCTGCCTCTAATGACTGACTTCAGCTTTCAGTCCTCTTCCTTATTTGTGTAGTTGGGGACCAAAGTGGCACCACCCACTGGATCCCGAAGGACACTGTACATACAGGTTTGGTCTCTTCCATTTTTTTGTTGACTCTAGACTCTTCTGAATGCTTTTCTTATTTCTTGATGAAATTTCTACAACATAAAATTAACCTTTTACACTATGAAACTCTGCAGCATTTGGCCCAAGGGCAATGCTTCGGTAGGTGACATTTCTCAAATGCTACCCGTTACCAGTACAGATTTCAACCTGTGTTCTTACAACAGTGGCTTCCTGGTCCCTGTTTCTGTAAACCCTGGGCACCAGTAAGCTCTCAGCAGTCTACACTCAGCTCTTCTGGCACAATTCCTACTCGCCACGTGGACTTCAGCAGTCTGAGGTACCATTGATCCTTCCTGCTGCTCTTAATTCACCATGTGACCCAACAACCCAGTCTGCCCATCCAGGCTTGGGTACAGGCACCTACATAGCAGAGGCCCCTTCTCCCCACCCTTCAGGAAGACCTGAGCTAGCCATACCAGACTATAATTGGGTCCCAGACTTCTTTGAAGATGCTCCACTCATACAACATCCTGGAAACTGATCTCATGTTTCCAGAAAAACTC